CGTAATAGTTAACGAGTAATTAATTATTAAAACTCGTTGTCTTAGGCCGGCCTACCGCCCAATTCGAGCGCGTGGCGAGATGTGCGCATAGCAATATCGATCGCCGGGCGGTCACATCTTGCCACGCGCTCGAATTGGGCGGTAGGCCGGTCTAAGACAACGATTTTTAATAATTAATTACTCGTTAACTATTACGAAAATTGCAAAATGGTGGAGGACTTTTCCATTCATCTCGATTCGTTCTACCTTCTCAAAAATTTTGTCGGATATGGAAAGACTCACCCTGTATAAAGAAGAAATCTGTGGTCCCGATCACGTGGTGCATTCCGCCATGTCTTTGGTCCAGATTCTGGGGCGTATGCGTGTACATACGTACTGTAGCTGCATGTGTAATAGTGTAGCTTCGTTACACTATCACACATACCAATTTTCTCTCATTGGCTGCACCAACAAAATGTCGGATGCGCAGAACAGATCGACGCAAAACGAAACAAACGACAGAGGGAGCATATCATTAGATTGTTGCATATGAAATGGCCATTTTTGAAATAAAACTTTCACCAATTGCTTGTCAAATGCCGAGTAACTGTTGAATAATGAACGCCTAGTTGTTCCGCAATATCTCTAACAGTTTGACGTCCATGGGATTCCACCAAAACCCTTAGCTCGTCGTTGTCTATGGCTGTTTCAGGGTGACCACAAGGCTCATTTTCAAGGCTTACACCTCCTGAACGAAATTTTTCAAACCAACGCCTAGTTGTTCGTTCACTAGGTGTGCTTGCTCTAAATGCCGCGTTAATGCTTCTGGTTGCTTCTGCTGCATTGTGTTCAAGTTTAACTCGTGAAAAAAATTACCCGTATTCGGCTCTTATCCATTATTTCAAGTTGGCTGGTCACAAAAACGTTGGCAGTGATCAATAACAAAATGAAATATGGGTTTTGAAGATCAGGGTTGTCACTTTAATTTGGCATATAACTGCCTCGTTCTGTTCGTTTTTACGTATTAAAACGTCACCAATGTTACCAACCTGCGAATACGGCCACTTCATGTGCAACTACCTAATAGTTATACTATATTTTTATTTTAATCATATTTTAATATTATTTTAATCACACTTAATCGCAACGGTCTCCTCTCATTCCCGGATACGCGAGTCGCACGACTGAAATTTATAATACTTAAATATATTTAATTCGTAAAGATATTTCGCGATACTTTGTTTCTTACAGTTCCATGTGAAGCAGTACACGTTGCAATAAATTCGCGCGGAAACAGTTGCATTTAAACGCCGCGTGTTTGATGATCAAGTATTAACGAGCATCAGCGAGTGTTAACGCGGCGAAAGAGAAGCGACTTACCGTACATCTGCTGAATCCCATGGCGGTCGTCCTCCGGCAGCTCATAGTTGGCGCTCAGTCCCTGATACCAGGGATACATGAGAGCACCTTGGACCGAGCTGTGCGCCAATCCCAGGGAATGGCCGAATTCATGAGCGGCCACTGCGAACAGGCTGGTGCCTGGAAGAAGCAGAGGAAAATATTCAAGATCCCTGCGCCCGTGCAACTCGTGTTTATGTCAACCGCAATACTCGCGGCTCTGCGAGACAGGAGTCGCATACAGATTCGCGGGGCTTATGGTTTCTTTATACATTGCACCTCGGCCAATATTTCGCGAAGGTAGAAACGCGACACGGCAAACGTTATTTATTAAAGGCGAGATCCGTTAGTTGTACGAAAAACTCGCACCGTTTAAAACACACGTGTATCAGAAAATACTTATCAAATTTAAAAGTCAACTTGAAAAAAAAGTTTAGTACGAGGATAAAATTAGTGCATGAAGTATATTTTTACCTTCTTTTTGAAGAACTAATTGTGAGAGCAAAACTTCTTAATAAAAATATTTACATCAATTATAATCTTATATCCCAATTTTCTACTTCTAGAAGAACATGCTGCTTGTTTTCTCGAAAGATTAAGTATTATTTGATGGTATAGTTCTCTATAAGATTATTCAAATTTCGCGACATTAATTGTCTACAACTTGCAATAATTACATCTCTTCTCTAAAGCAATCTTGGACGCAGTGTCTTTTTATAAACAATTTATATTTTTAATAAAAATACTCAAAATAGTTTTATCTCTTGATATCTCTTCACCTGAACTCTTTTTACTGTCTCCAAAGACATCGAGTCGTGGTAGAGAAAAGTGTATCGAAACTTTTTCGCGTTCGCGTGCCGAGTTTTCCGGGCAATTGCATCGGGAATTGCCACCGCCACCGCCGCGGAATCTCCGCCTTCATTTCGTTTCGTTTCGCCCCGATTCGATTCCGACCCGCATCGAGAAACTACTTTCCCAGATATGGGTTAGGATCGTAAAGCGATCGCCGATTCGACAGGGAGGGGGGTTGCTGTCGCCGGAAAAATTGATAGTATAGCGAATAGTTGCTTGCATTGCCGGGAAAAATCCGCGGTATCTTGATACCGAAATTTCGCGAGAAATCTCCAGCCGTACATTTTGCACAAAGTTCAGTTGTCATAAAGAATCTGCTCGCATAATCGTTCAATTACAAAAGAAACAAACCCGTGAGAGAGTGTAAAATATAGTTACACAAAAATATATGAAATTTTTGTATAACTATTTTTGTACGGCCAACAAAAAATCACTGATGTTATTAATTTATTAATTACTTCTGGCGACTTTAAGAATATTCTTACTTTTTGTATATATGCTATTATTTACAACATTACACTGTTTATAATCGCGACAAATATTCCCACACGCCTCAGTGGTCGAATTGGTGAGACGCCCGCCTAGAAGTGGCTGCGTACGGCATTGTAAATCTGAGGCATCGGAGTGCTCTACCTCCCTTTCTATCTTATTCTCCTCTCTCGCTCACTCAAATGTAAAAGAGCACTCCGACGGCTCGGATTTGCAATACCGAACGCAGCCAGTGTAGGGAGGAGGTTCAGGTTTAAACCCTGGCCGAGGTAATATTCTTCG